TGCACAGGCGCATGCCAGCCCCTCCGCTCTCCTTTCTCCCCCCCCACCAAGCAAACGGCCGCCTAACGGCTGCTGATTGCCCCGCCTCGTGCCAGGGGGCGGGGCTTTCTTTGACGGCCCACAGCCAATCACAGCGGTGAAGGCCAGCGTGATTTGAATATTCATGAGGGGCGCCAAGGCAGCGCGGGGTGTTCTGGGAGGTGTTGCTTGAGGAGGGGTTGGCTGAGGGGGTGGTGGGGTCCTCATGGGGTTGGTGTCTGCTGCCTTGCTTGGCCTGGCAGGGTGTTGTGGCACTGAGGTGGTCCCCGCCTCAGAGCACTGCTCCCCTTCTGTGTGCAGGCATCGTGTGGGGGCCTGGCAGTGTGGGGCTTCTGCCTTGGCCTGCTGTGGCATTGCCACTTCTTGGGGGCAGGAGGAGGGAGGCAGGTGGACGTGAAGGCCACAGCAGCTTCACCTGACACAACGGTGTCAGAGCCCTTGATAGAGCTAAAATGATGATCCGGAAGCATCAACGGGCGTACCGGGTCTTCCCTCCTTCCATGAAGACCTTGTTTGTGAGGCGATAATCCTTGACTCCAGGCCTCCGGTTGCCTGGATGGGATTTCAGGATTCCATTTTAAAAGCCACAAGTGTGGAGATAGGTCTGTCCTGGCTCTGCCAGTGCTGTCCTAACTCTGGATAAAGGGTATCGTGCAGTTCCCAGAGCAACCTCGTCTCAGGTTTGAAAATGACACAAGAAATGCCCTAAATGAATGATGAATCAAAATTACCAGCTTTGGGAAATTGAAGTTAGACCCTGAATGAAGTCTGTTAGGGCTGCCGAAACAATGAGTACCAACATCTACATCTAGAATCTGCAACAGTTGTATTAACTCAGTTCCTGCTGCCGTGGAAACAGACGGAGATGGCTAAAAATGGAGCAGGTTGTTTTAAGCTAATTGTTCGACACGCACAAAAAAGCTGGGATTCTCTTTTATTTTTGTGATACTGAGTCCTTTAAAGTAACCTCCATTTCCATGGCAGCCAGCAGCAGATTTACTAGAATTCATTTTAGATTTTACAATCCTGATATATGTCATAAGGTTAAGCGTTTTGCAGGATTTTTATAGAATTAAAGCTCTAGTAGGCTCATTAGATTTATCTGAGCAATCTATAGCGTACCCAGTAAGATGCATCCAAATGATATATAGATATATATAGCTTCTACTATAGCTTCTACATTAAAGCAGCTTATTCAGTAAATTTCTCTTCTTCTGCTTGTAAATACAACTACTAGGGCCTTTACTGGGAGTAGAGAAATTTTCATCCAGGATCTAACAGTGGTTCATCTAGTCTATATTGTGTTTCGTACTGGGCCACATGTTTTAGAATAAAGTGCAAGAAGCATTCTCATGGTTGGAGTTGTCTTAGAAAAGTTCACTGAGAAATATGATTTAAAATCTCTTTCAATGTTAATGAATCTTCCAAAATATGTGTTAGGATTATAACTCTGAACATTCTTGCTAAGAATTCCTCCTTCAAGAACAGAGGGACGTTCTAGTAGGTAGCTTGCAAGAAAGTTTGAGTGTCTCCGTTTTGGCTGGTTTGTTAAAAAAAAATCAGCCATGTAAAGCAACAATACCGTCTCAAGACATACTTTCTAGTTATAGTTCCAAAAGGACAGAATGCAAAATTATCTTGCAATAATATAGAAGGCATTTTTGCAAAGGTAGAAAAAATACTGAGCTGCCTGAAAAAAGGTATTTGTTTTCTCTGATTCATTTAGTGAAAAGCCCCTCTCCCAAACCTTTCCAAAATTTTGAGTCGGATTTATTCCAACAACAGCCCCTTTTCAGAAAAGATTGTCAACTCTAATGACTCCGTTAGGATGATCGTGGATCGTCTTATGTACTACTACAACCAAGTAATAACTCTTAGGGCTAAAAAAATCCATATGGCTCTCTCAGCAGTACTGCTTAACATGTGTGACGGCTGCTCTTAAAAATATAACTATTAGAAAAGGAATTAACTGCACTGTGTGGCTTATGAAATGCCAACTTATTTTTGAATAGAAGCAATTTTAGTTTAACAAATGCTCGGGCTGGTCATCCTTTTGTCTTTTCCGTGGTTACTATTGGTTTCTAGTTGCATTTAGATGCCTTAACCGTGACCAAGGCCCCATAGGAATACACATTATAAAAGCACACGCAATATCCCAGTCTCATTTTGTTCCTGGGAAAGGAGGCAGGCAGAGTGTGAGACATACAGATGTAAGTGCCTCAGGGCTTCAGTTATCAACTCACTCTAGAAGCAGCTGCTCCCACTGGCAAATCTCTTATGGATCAGTAGTGGAGAAGTACAGCCTGATGAACCACACCAGGTTTTTCAGACTGGGAAAACCATTGGGAAGGGTTAAAAACTCCCGTGAGACTGAAGGGCATCAATCCTTTTTGGCAGCCATCCATTTTTTTCTCCATCCTGCCTCACTTCTTGTGCTATTCAGCTTTTCTCAGAATGAATTTTAAATCTGGTGAGAGAGGGGGGATTATGCCACAAATTTTCTCAGAGAATTTGGCTAAATTCCTTCATGTCTGCATAACTCAATTTGCCTATTGTAAGGTAGGGGTAATATTTATGTTATGTAGAGTTTAAGTCTCGTAAGGCCTACCTCTTCAGGATTTGTCAGGAGCTGTGAAGCTGCAGTGTGGAAGGAGTTATATTTTAAAGCAGTTATTTTACTTTAGGATCTGTGTTGCTGATGGTTTTACCATATTTTAGATTCTCAGTGCCAGACTAGTAATTATGTAAGACTATAATCCCTGGAGCACTCTGAAGCTAGCGGAAGCTTTGTCACTGATATCGCTTTTTTATTTATGTTACATGGTAAGCCAGAGTGCAAGCCTAACATGACCTTGTGTACGAATGTAACCGAGCTCTGATGCCTGAGCAGGGAGGGTGCCCACCCCACCTCTTTGAGCCCCGTGCAGTCCACTCTCTGCAGTGTGAGTAGGGTGGGCACATGCACAGCTCCAAGCTGATCATACTGTATCCTGTAGTATCATATAGCCAACAGAGAGCAGACAAGTCAGCTCAAGTTCCTTCTTAGAAGCCTTTAATGTTGTATATAGCAAGGCGCTATGATCTACGCAGGCAGCTAAGCTGCAGATATTTTAGGGATGTCTATGTGGACACACAGTGCAGGTCAAGGGGGCATACTTTGCAGTAACCCAGTTTCTGGCTAGAATCCAGTGAACTGCACAGACATTGCTATTTGGGTCAGGATGTGGTGTTAAATTTTCAGTGAAGATATTTTAGACTGGCCAGGAAGGTAGAAACAAATCATCTTGAAAAGGAAAATCCTCTTTAACTAACAGCAAGGGGTAGTCTGTGCAATACCACTGCAGTAGCTCTACAACTTAAATTGTGACCAAAAAGTAAGAAAACCCTGTATTTGCCGAGATTTACTGCTTCACAGACCAATGGAGCGAAATGTAAACTGCAACACATCCGTCTTTATTCCACAAGCATCCGTGGCTCTGTTATTCCCGTGCTCCAGTCCCCCTGGATGAATAACCCTTCCCCCTCTCCACGCTGAATAGGGCAGGTGACTCGGTACCCGGCCACCCAGCAGATGCTTCCGCAGTACCAACTGTTCTGAATCCCCCACCCCTTCTCCAGCTTTTTTTTCCTCCTTCCCCCCCGTGTCCTACCAATCTAGGCTGCCTGGCACATGCTGCAAGCTGCAGTCCCGCTGGAGTGATATTGTGATGGAAATGAGGGAGGGGATGCAAGCAGAACTGCACAGATTTACAGCACTCTAAGGGTTTCCATTAAAATCCTTGACAACTTGTTATTTATGAGTAGACCAACAGCTCTTCTAATATCCAGGGCCTAGACCCCATTCACTTCAATAATGCTGGTTTGGAATAAATGAGCCAGAGGATGGAAACCAGTTCTGTTAGTATAATGGAGGAGGCTAATAGCTGTTTAGAGAAAACAACTGATGTAATTCTGGGACCCAATCCTTTCACTAACTAAACTATAAAGGTTTGATTCTTTAAGTGCATTTCAAATAGTGATTTAATTCAGTACAAAGAGGGTGATAAATGGTAGCATTCTGATTTCATGGCATTATGTACCCACTTTGCACTGCTCTGGGTACTATTTGCACTAGTGTGCTAGAGATAAAGGGACTCATTGACTACTGTGCAAGCAGAAATGGGTCAGTTTGGATCTCCACAGCAGAACAAAGATGGACAACAGGGATTCGTCCTTACAATTTAATATAAGCAACAGAAAGAGCTCTGCATAAGCACATTATCTTAATTTTTCAGTCTCACAGCATATGATCATTTCTTCCCCAGATTTTTCTGAGCTTCTCAGCAACCAACTGCAGTGGCAGTCTAGATGTCATTTTCGAACATTTTTTCCACAGCAGTTCCCTTCCCTGTTCTCTTCCCCTTCCCAGCACTGACATGTCAAATACTGGAACGCCTCTGCATAAGTACAGGACTGACCCCTGAAATAAGGACTTTGACGATCAAACCATGTTAAGAACTAGGATGTGCACTTTGCTGCTGTAAAGAATTATCGATCTCTTCTGCTGTGTCTTAAAATCAAGCTGGCTCATATACTGTTTTTTCCTTTTTCTCTATTGTTCACCTGCTTCTTGTCTATTTACAGTCCTTTTGTCAGGCATCTTTTTATTTCCTTTCTGCTTCCTCTGCTCTCCGCAGGAGCC